AGGCCGGGGGGGGCCCGGGGGGTCCTGGGCCCATCCCGGGGCCAGTCGTGAGGGTCCCGGGGATGCGGGGTCAGGGCGGGCCCGGGGCTCCCCTCACGTGGGGCCGGGCCGGGCTCTGAGGGGATTTTCCCTCCCTCCCGGTTTTTGGGAGTTCTGGGGGGTTTGGAGCAGGAATTCTGTGGGATTTGGAGAAGGATTCGGGCTGGTTCCGATTGGGGAGGGTCCGTTCGCCTGGTGGGCTCGGGGTTGTTTCCCTTGGAAGGGGTCATAGGGCTGGGGAATTGGGGACCGGGAGGGATTCGGGATGGTTCCCAAAATTCCCACACGGGATTTGTTCCCCTGATGGGATTTGGGCTGTTTTTCCTTGTGGGATTCGTTCCCTGAGTGGGATTCAGGATTGTTCCCAAATTTCCCTCACGGGATTCATTCCCCGAGTGGGATTTGGGATGATTCCCGAATTTCCCTCATGGGATTCATTTCCCTATAGGATTCAGGATTGTTCCCGAATTTCCCACACAGGATTTGTTCCCCTGATGGGATTTGGGATGGTTCCCGAATTTCCCTCGTGGGATTCATTTCCCGATGGGATTTGGGTTGTTTTTCCTGGTGGGATTCATTCCCTGAATGGAATTTGGGATGGTTCCTGAATTTCCCTCATGGGATTCATTTCCCAATGGGATTCAGGATTGTTCCCAAAATTCCCACACGGGATTTGTTCCTCTGATGGGATTTGGGATTGTTCCCAAATTTCCTTTGGGGGATTCATTTCCCGATGGGATTTGGGCTGTTTATCCTGGTGGGATTCATTCCCTGATGGGATTCAGGATTTTTCCCAAATTTCCCTCACGGGATTCATTTCCCAATGGGATTTGGGCACCCATCCCTCTTCCAACACCCCCAAAAATGGGATTTCTCCCGGGGAAATTGGGATTTCTCCAGGGAAAATGAGATCTCTCCCATGAAAATGGGATTTCTTTCAGGAAAAATAGGATTTCTTCAGGGCAGATGGGATCTCTTCTGGGAAAACGGCATTTCTCCAGGGAAAACGGGATTTCTCCCAGGGAAAACGGGATTTCTCCAAGGGAAAATGGGATTTCTTTCAGGAAAATGGGATTTCTCCCAGGGAAAATGGGATTTCTCCCAGGGAAAATGGGATTTCTCCTGGGAAAATGGGATTTCTCCAGGGAAAACGGGATTTCTCCAGGGAAAATGGGATTTCTTTCAGTAAAATGGGATTTCTCCTGGGAAAGTGGGATCTCTCCCTGGATCTGCCTCTCCCTGGCTGGCTCTGATTCGAAGTCAGGGCTGTTAATCCTCAGCTGTGCCCTAAATTCCGATGGAAGGGAGGGAACAGCCGCACAAAATCCCCGGAAGAACATCCCTGCCTCTTCCCAGGCATCTGGAAGACTTTTCCCATTACTTTTCCCGGTTTTTTTCCTGTTCTCAGTGGCTCTGTTTGGGGAAATTCCGGATTCCTGGGGAGGAAATGTTATCCCAGGATATCCAAGAGGTTTTGGGGGGGGGTTTCAGGTCGGGTTTTCCAGGAGTTTTGGCTGCTGGAGGAATTTTCTGGAGGTCAGGGCTGTCCCTGTCACCCTCAGCCACCTTAAATTCTTGGGATCTTATCCAGGGGAAATTCCCAAAGGAAATTTGTCTTCAAATCCAGAACAAAACACGGAGCAAATTGTGAGGATTTGGGTTTTTTTTCCCCGGCTTAAACCCTTTAAAAAGAAACCGTTCAAAACCAGGAATTCTTTCCATGAATTCCTTTTCATTCCCAAAGCTGGAAAAACAGCAGGGAGATGGCGTGGGCTGGGAACTGGGAGATTTGGGTTGGAAATGGGAAGATTTGGGGCTGGGAATGGGAAAATTTCAGGCTGGGAATGGGAAGATTTTGAGTTGGAAATGGGAAGATTTTGAGTTGGAAATGGGAAGGTTTTGGGGTGAAACTGGGAAGATTTTGGCTTGAAAATGAGAAGATTTGGGGCTGGAAACAAGATTTCAGGCTGGGAATGGGAATATTTGGGGCTGGAACTGGGAAGATTTTGAGTTGGAACTGGGAATATTTGAGGCTGGGAACGGGAAGATTTGGGGCTGGGAATGGGAGGATTTCAGGCTTGGAATGGGAGGATTTGGGGCTGGGAATGGGAAGATTTTGAGTTGGAACTGGGAAGATTTGGGGCTGGGAATGGGAAGATTTGGGGCTGGGAATGGGAAGATTTGGGGCTGGGAATGGGAAGAGTTCGGCTCTCTGGACAAACCCACTTTGAAGTTGAGCTCTGTCACTTTTTGGGACTCAGCTCCTCCAAGCCACGGCTGCGCTGGAATTCAGCCAAACACCAGAAATCCGGGAATCTCCTCGGGATTTCCCTTTGGAAAAAGCAAACCCCAAACCTCAGGGCAAAGCCAACACACAGCGGGGTGACCCCATAACCCCTGAGTGAGACAGGATAATTTTAGAGGCGGGGGAGGAACACCAGGAAGAATCCCTCGGGATCAGAACCTCGGGATTGGGAACGCTGGGCTGATCCCTCTCTCTGCTCTGTCCCCACAGCTGGAGGGACAGCATGGCAGCCACGGCCGCCGTCAGCCCCAGTGAATACCTGCAGCCCGCCGCCTCCGCCGCCCAGGTGAGTCCAGCCCATCCTCAGGGCTTTTCCCAGGATTCAGGAGCAGCCAGGAGCCCCTCCAAAGGCTCATTCCCACTCCTGATCCCGGTTGTTCCTCCTCCTCCTCCCTGAGGATGCGGGGTGGCTTTGGGGTTTGAGCTGCCTCAAAAGCCAGGGTGAATCTCCCAGGGTGTTTTCCACGGCTTTTAGGATTTTTCAATCCCAGGGATGGGATTTAAAAGATGATGTCATCACTGATTAAAAACAGTGGATGCATTGGGAGGAATTCTGTGATAGAAAAATTAGGAATTTCTGCCCAGAAAGGTGGTGGAGTCACCTGGGGGTGTTTAAGGAGGGACTGGACAGGATTAAACCCTTTAAAAAGAAACCTGTTCAAAACCAGGAATATTTCCCTGAATTCCTTTTCATTCCCAAAGCTGGAAAAACATCAGGGAGATGGCGTGGGCTGGGAATTGGGAGATTCTGGGCTGGAAATGGGAAGATTTCAGGGTGGAACTGGGAAGATTTGGGGCTGGGAATGAGAAGATTTGGAGCTGGGAATGAAAAGATTTGGGACTGGGAATGGGAATATTTCAGGCTGGGAATGGGAATATTTCATCCTGGAACTGGGAAGATTTCAGGCTGGAACTGGGAAGATTTGGGGCTGGAACTGGGAAGATGGCCCTCAGTGCCATGCTTGGGGTGGCAAAGTATCCCCCAGGTTGAACTGGATGATCAAAGATATTTTCCAAGCTCAGTTACTGGGGAATTCCACCATCCTCTAAAGGCACAGCGGGTAATTAAGCAGCTCCCTTAATCAGGGGAGCCTCATTAGCTGTTCCTGCAGGTTCCTGGCACTAACTGCCCTGTCTCCCCAGGACTCCCAGCCCTCTCCCCTGGCCCTGCTGGCAGCCACATGTAGCAAGATCGGTCCCCCCGCCGTGGAAGCCGCCGTGACGCCGCCGGCCCCTCCGCAGCCCACCCCTCGCAAACTGGTGCCCATCAAACCCGCCCCGCTGCCCCTGGGCTCGGCCAAGAGCAGCATCGGCATCCTGTCCTCCAAAGGGAACCTCTTCCAGATCCAGGGTTCCCAGGTGGGCACCTCCTACCCCGGCGGGCAGCTGGTTTTCGCCATCCAGAACCCGGCCGTGCTCAACAAAGGCTCGCGCTCTTCCTCCTCCTCCTCCTCCTCGTCCTCCTCGTCGTCCTCCTCCAACATCCAGTACCAGGCCGTGCCCCAGCTGCAGCCCGGCGGGGCTCAGACCATCCAGGTGCAGCCCAACCAGATCCAGATCATCCCAGGCACCAACCAAGCCATCCTCACGCCTTCCTCTTCCTCGCACAAACCCGTGCCCATCAAACCGGCGCCGGCGCAGAAAGCGGCGTCGGCAGCGGGCGGCGTGGTCAAACTGCCCGGGGGTGGCAACGTCACCTTGACCCTGCCCGTCAACAACCTGGTGAGCTCCGAGGCGGGCGGCCAGGCCCAGCTGCTCACGGACAGCCCTTCCAAACCCGGCAAAAAACCTCGGAAAAAGGCCCTGTCCCCCGCCCAGCCGGCCGCCGTGGCCGTGGCCGAGCAGGTGGAGACGGTGCTGATCGAGACCACGGCGGAGAACATCATCCAAGCCGGTAACAACCTGCTGATCGTGCAGAGCCCCGGCTCGGGGCAGCCGGCGGTGGTGCAGCAGGTGCAGGTGGTGCAGCCCAAGCAGGAGTCGCAGGTGGTGCAGATCCCGCAGCAGGCGCTGCGCGTGGTGCAGGCCGCCTCGGCCACGCTGCCCACCGTGCCCCAGAAATCCTCCCAGAACTTCCAGATCCAGGCGGCCGAGCCCACCCCCACACAGGTACAGCCTCCTTGGGATCTCTGCCCTGTTGTTTTGCCGGGGTTTTAGGAGCTGGAGGGTTTTGTGAGACGTTCCCGCTGTGGTTTGGGTGTTGCTGAGTGAATTCCCTGGATGTTGGGAGCGCGGCCGTTCCCTCTGCAGGGATTTAGGAGCTCCACCTGCTTTTATAGGATCTGCAGGAGCTCGGTGTCCCTGAAACCTCCCCAGTGCCACGGCTGGGGTTGAGATGAGCCAGGGAGCTCCCGGGAAACGAGGGGAGGTGGGAGAGGGGTTGGTGTCTTTCTGCTGCCTTGGGTGAAATCCAGGAGCTTTCTCCTTTCTCCAGGAGACGCACAAAAGTCCAGGTTTATTTCCCGGTGAGGCTGGGGAGGGGCTGGGATGCATTTCCCAGACGAGCTGCGGCTGCCCCACCCTGGCAGTGTCCAAGCCCAGCTTGCAGCACCCTGAGCCAGCAGAAGAAATCCCTGGCAGTTAAAACAAGACAACCTCTAAAACCCCTCCAAATCCCAAACCATCCCACCATTCCCGGGCTGCGTGCATCCCTCCAAATCCCAAACCTTCCTTCCTCCCCTCCAGATCTACTTCAAAACCCCCTCTGGCGAGCTGCAGACCATGCTGCTCCAGGAGACCTCCTCCGTGCCCGTGCCTCCACCTCTGGGCACGTCCTGCGGCAGCCCCGCGTCGCGCAGCCCCGGCCCCGGCGCCGGCCGCAAACCGGCCCCACGCAAGGAGCGGCCGCTGCCCAA